TAGTAATTTAAACATCTTCATTGAGGAATTATAATAGACGTACTATTTCGAAAGTTTTATAAAATATGTCTATGTACAAATAATGATTTTGTTATAAGTGCATCTATATTTTTGGTTAAATATTACAACTTTTTTTGAGAAGCACACATATCCATGTCACATATAAAAATTAAGTAATCTTGGAAACAGGTCAAATTGAAAAAGGTAATAAAAAACTTGATTAAAGATTACAGCAAATTCAACTTAGTACGGGTATAAGTATTACGACTTAAGTTGGATACGCTTATGTGGGCTCAAATATTTGACATTGCCATGAAACGTTTGCAACGTAAGAAAATAATTATTCGAACGAAAAATATATAGGGGAAATATACATTTGTATTTACGAATATTCTGTGAATTTATTAAAAATTACTATGGAAAATATAAACAGGCACAAAAAAAGTATTCAATTACAAGTATTTTTTTCACTTGCATTTTTAACATTATCAAAAATACGTGCCATTTCTCATTTTCATATAAATATAAAACATATAAATTAATTACAAAATGTATAAATCATCTTTAGCCATTATATGGCATTTGGCATTGAGCTAAAGCTCAACTATTTGGCATGTAAGTAATTTTAAATATTATAATATAAATCATTTGTGCTTTTATGAAATATTTAATCATTGTCTAACCTTTGTTAGGTTTACAAACGCATATTTCGTTAATAAAATGTTTTATAAACATGTCGCGTTCACTTAAATGATTTCTAATTAATTTTCTAATTAATCCTAATATCGTAGTTATTTTAAAATTATGCTATTAACCACATTGCAAGTTTTTGTTATTAAAATACTGTTTATGTATCATTGACAAAATATTTAATGTAAAAAAAATGTTAATTCATGCATGAATAAAAGAATTTAAATTTAAGTGGAGGTTATGAAATGAAAGATAAAATTCGCAAAGTAAAAAAGAGGTTAAACCTTTAATCAAGCTTCGCCAGATTTTGAAATCTCATCAAACAATTCGAGATAACCTACAATGGACTTGCAATGTGGTTTTTATGCGGGGACAAGGATTCGAATACCATGCCTAGGGACACACAACACAGGTATCAGGTAATATAACTTTAGGCAGTCTTTGGGTAGGTCGGAAGATTTTATAGCATCTAGACATCCTTTTTTTATTAATTGTACTAAATTACAATACACCTAAAATTACCGACGCTAAATTGAAACGTGGCTTAAATTTTTTTTTGGTTAAGTCAGGACCATTTCAAAGCTTTCTTGATTTTTCTCATGGAAATAAAGCTCAACGATTACATTATGACATTGGCCATTTCTTTGCTTTGCATTTGCAAAGGGATTAAGGTATTGAACCTTTTTTGATATAGACATCCGAAATATAATGAACGTCATTTTTACCAAATATATTTATTGTTATTACCTATTATAGTGATAAAAAATATTTTGAAAGGCCCCGACTTCAGGGTGTACCAGCCGTTAGTACAACTGCTCTCTACCGACCACATTTACTACTTACTAACATCGAATTTACCTTAACACTAAATACGAATATTACGATAGCTATATTTATGTCTCCGTAATTGGTGTCAATTTGGAATAAGCGCTTCGCCACAGCGGGAAAATTTCAGTTTTTCTTTGTCTTATATGAATTTGTGGTTTATTTTAATTGAAAATTATTGGGCGCATGTTTTTTTTCCAATTAATTGTAATAATATACATGTTGAATAGACAATATTTTGTATACACAGTAAAACATCCACAGTACTATTCTATTAAAAATATAGCGTCGAAGCGCAGCGCTGTATATCATTAGAGGTTCAATCAAATTAAAACTATTTCAAAAGATTTTATATAACTCATCGGCGATCTTCGTGACCGAGCGGTTAGCGCGCCTGTTTCAAGGTGTCACCGTCACCGAGATACCGGGTTTGATTCCCGGTCAGTTCGATATTCGATGTAAGTAATATCTAAGATCTGTCTGGCGCGATTTTCGTTATTTTCAGAGTACCATAATACAAGTTTAAACTACTTAATTTGTAATATGTGATGTTGTTCAATGATTATTGTACTTATCATATTAGATTTCCACCAGCGTCTTTGCCCATGTGTTTTACACGAGGACTTGACAGTATATTTAAAGTTTATTAGAATTATTATTATCATTTTACCCTATAATTCTATAACAGCGCTGCGATCTACACTGTATTTTAACAGTAGCAGAACTGCTTAATTCAAATGATTCTATGATATTCTGATATTAATTTTGTATTTATTTAGGATATAAAATCACTTAGAAAACTTTGGATTTTGGTCGACTGTAAAACTTGGAAGTTATTTCATTAATATGAGTGCGCTCCAATATATGTCTTTAACGAGTTTGTAATACGTAGTAATATATTAAAATTTGCTATGAATTAATATAACTCATTATTTTTATAATGAGTTATAAAATTAGAAAAAAAACATAACAATTATTAAAACATTCGTTTTCACATTAATTTCACTATAAAATATTTGTTATAATAGTACATTATATAAAAGGATCAAAAATGGTAACATGGCGAATACGAATTGTTTAAAAATAAACATTTTCAAAATTCGATGAAACTTTGATAAAAATGTATCAGTTGGGGTTCATTATAAATTTCATTAGTTATCGTAAGTGATATCTCACATGGGAAAAACCTGATGTCAGTTTTAGAAGTATAAGGTTCGATCGATACACGTAAGACACGATGACCATTTTTCCTCTGAACCTCATCTGTTTATTAATCTGTTTTTTTTGGAAGTCATTGATTTTTCCTATGGTCATATTTTACACATATAAATCTTCCTCAGGAATTACCCTATCTGTTGTTCAAAACCGCATTTAATTTTAAAAGATTTCAGCGTACAGACAGCGTCAAGTGACATTTCTTTATACTATGTATAGATAATAGTATGTGTGTTTTTTAATATATTAAGATAACATTGATTAATTATTTGATTATAAAAACCCTTTTCCATGAGAGATGGCTTACAACAATATGGATGACGACGGAGTAAAAAAAAGAAATTATATTTAGTCCGTTATTCAGATAATAGAAAAATATTAGATACGATTTTTTTTTCAATTCAATTTAACAAGAAATAGCTTAGATAATAGGCATTAAAGTTGAGGACCCTACTCCTACCTCACAGATTTGTAGAAAATGTATCAAACCGTGATGTCACTTGAAATTTTAACGAAATTACGAAAAAAATTTAAAAATACGTGTTTAATATTTTTCAACAATCTACCTGATGGACAAAAAATACAAAAATTAGTCGTCATCCCTATTTAGCTTTCTTGCTTCATCTATAGATTATAGGTACACAAAAAATGGTGACGGCACTATTGTGCTTATTTCATTTGTGATTTGTACTATGTTAGTATATTTAATCGCGGCAATATATAAAGAAACCATCTTATCCGTTTGACAAATGTGTTCTTAATCTAAACTTTATATACGTGTTACCATAAGTCGCACAACTTGATTATCTAATGAATTCATGGCTACACACATCTTTTCTATGACAAACACACAGTAAGACTATATATCATGCATTTATTATTACGAAATTAATCTTGTGATTAAAATTGTACGGTTCATTTTCAAATAATCATTTGTTAAATATTTTCCAAAGTCAGTTGCAATATTCTGTAACTCCAAAAATCCTCGAGTACATTAAAAACATAAATTGCTGACATCAATTGTGACATTATAGTAATATATAAGGCCATTTAGGTTAGTTATCAATTATTTATCTTCATTAAAACTATTATATTACTAGAACAGATTCTGGAAATATAACTATGACGCTAAGTATTGAAGGTAGTTACATTTATATGACCAGCATGGCAAATTAAAGCACCAACGTTATCTTTTGGAGAAATATCGTAAGATTGTCGTTTACTTGCAAAAGTTCAAAATATTCAAATAATATAGTTGCTGAGTATAAAATAAAATTAGTAATAGCAAACACATAGTAATATACAAAACGCAATAGCAATGCAGTGGTCAATATAAAAACCGTAAGTGAAAAAAACTGTGAGTGAATTAAGAGTTTCATTCGAGTTACAAAATAGCTGAAGCTCTATCTTTCAATCATACAATTCGCCTCCATCTGTCGTTTATAATTAATTTACATTTGACAGACGAAATTCGCTATTTATGATTTCCTCGATGGCAAAATTTCCAAATCCATTTAAATTTTTTATTTACCTTAGTTTACGCAAATCAGCGTCGCTTTATATAACAATTCATAAGATGATTTTCTTAACTTGTCTGAAATATTCGTTTTTCTATGCCAAAACATAAGTATTTTGACATATATTTATTGTGACTTGAGCAAAAGTTTTTTTAAACCAGATAATATATTCGCGATTTGTATATTTCAATATAGTCACAGGAATAAATTTATTTATATGAAGGTTTTATTTGTAAGTATGTATTAAAATTTACATTAATATTTTGGTAAATATTATAGCAAATTCTTATACATTGAAGACGTTGACGTTCCGACTGTGCAAAAGTATTTTCATTCCTCACTAATAAATTTCCTTGTGATGCTGTTATTACCTTTTTAGCGAGATGTACCTACGTTTGTTAATTTTGAAAATTCATATATAATAACCAGTGTTGGACAAATGTAGGACATTAATGGTGATATTAGGTGACATGAGGTGTCACTTCAATTTATTGATAGGACTTTAATCGCTTACCAACATATTCTGTTCATCTTTATATAATTCAATTTTTTTACAGTGTTTTTAGAAGATCTTTCAGGAAAATCTTCCTAACGTTTGGTACAATATTTGAATTCAACACTGGAACATACAATCGTTTACAAATAGGTACATAACCACAATAAACAGTTCCTCAAAAGGGAAGACACGGCAAAGTTATTAAAGGAAAATTATGACTTATTCGTATTGGCATAGTGTTTCTTTCAATTATAGGTTTACATCATGAAGTCTCCGCAATCTACTCCAAAGTCCCAGTCGTCGGATGTGGTGGCCGTGTCGTCGTATTCGGCCAGAGCTTGTTCGTAAGCGGATGCTTCGTATGCGGTCACCCCGTCGAGCATGGAGCAGGCTTGGGAGACGTTTGTGTGGTGCATAATTGGCATCGCGTGAAGGGCAAAGTCTTCGCCCTCTTGTGACCAAGTCAAACCTGCAAAGTGTGTGGATCACATTTTAGTTAACTACTGTTTTATATAAAACTAAAGATTCTTCTATAAATAATTCATGTTAATAATACAAATATTCCGTAAATGTGTTGCTAAGCGCGATTCGCGGCGGCTGAAATATTTCTTGAATATTCCTTAAAAACAGGGAAAGGTTGTTGAACGTGGTGAAAATAAAAAAAAAAAACATAATTTTTCTTTTCCCACACACAATGAGTGGGCAGTACAAACTTAGTTCGAAGACCTAGTTGCTAATTGAAATATTACGTACTTTAGTATATATTTTCTTCTTGAAATTATATTAAGTAAACGACTCTATGAAATGATATTTGTTTTAATTTATATCAAATATTAGAAATTCTAAATATTATGAAACATACATAATCTTATTAAAGTTCATTTTTAAAAGAATATTAATATGATCATTTATTATTGATGGCTTGTAATTTAATAAATATTGTAAGGTAAAAATTATACTCACGCCCGCTCCAGACGCCATTAGGCAGCGTTACCCAACCCCAGCCCTGGCCCCAGGCGAGCTGGTGGTCAAGCTGCCCGGCAAGCGGCACCTGCCTCTTGATGACGGCCACCAGGCCGCGTCCGTCAAGCGCACCGACTGCGTTGCGACTGCTCCTAGAGTACATCTCTGATGACGTTGCTGTGGGTGGGAGAGTGGGATCGTATTAGGTATTATCCCTATTAAAAACATAAAAATGCACAACTGCTTGAAGAACAGCGTAGCGTCCTTCTACTGTTTAAAGTTGGGAAATCGAATGTTCAAAATTACTCACTTAATTCAGTATCTGTCTGTTTATTGGAGCAGTAGAGAGAGTAGTATGTACTTGGCAAAAGCCTCATAAGATAATCTGCGAAGTAATAAAAATAATCCATTTATTTTCAAAACAAATAACAGCACAGAGCTCTAAAAACTCTTGCCTGATTAAGGGTGAACTATCATTTGATAAAAAATAATTACTAACCTTCATTGTACAAATATCGAGAAAGCAAATTTTTAATCTATAAATTTATCACATTAAGAACGTTATAGGAGACAAAATATCATGGTTCAGTTTTTTCCTTTTTAAGTCCGGAATAATAAAAATTATAAACATTTTAGTTTTCGTTTGAAGTCCATATGAAACTTGCCTTCTCTTCGCTAGACACGATCGATTTGACTTACTACCAGCTCATTTTGGCAGATAACTATTAATCATACAAGCGTTTGAATGTCATAACGCCTCCAAAACTACACTTCATTAATTACCGTATAATAGTTATACTATTATAATAATTGCCTTTGGGGCTACACGAGCAATCCGTCTATACACAATATTGCTTGCTTGATTTCATTTGGAATCGAACTTATTAAAAAAATACGCAATATCTTAACATACCTATGCCTGATACAAATAATTATATGGAGTAACGCATTTTTTTTCATCTGTTACTACAAGAGGTCAACATTAGGTACATTGCAATTTTTTTCTTGTCGGTAGTAGATATTTTAAACGTACCAAACCAATGTTCAATTATTTTGGAAAAATAATAAAAAATATATTACTTATATGTCTCTCTTTTAAAATGTGACAATTTAACACGCAAGCACGCACGCACGTAAACTGACAGATATAATCATATCAATCATAGTAAGAATGCATTTAAAATTAAATTAATGGATAACTAAAAATAATGCAAAATGTGTAAAGTCAATCATTATAATGTTACGTTGTTATGTATAAAAAAAGTTGAAAAACACAATACTGTATATAAACGAAATTCTAGCAATTAGTATTCATATAATATTTTGTAAATTATATTCACCTGGATCAGGCTCCCGTCATAAACGATAAAAATAAACAACATACTGGGTAATAACATATAGGAGTAGGTGCATGGTATTTGCAGCTCGAGCATATTTCAGTGCAGCAATTACTGGCAATTCTTAAATGTAATATTGTAAATGGGGAAATATTGTTTTCATTTTCAATGACTTATTACATACAAGTAGTATAGACAAAGCGACAAGATGTTTTATTATAAGTTTATAATATATCTACTGTAATACATAAAGAGTATATAGTAGTAAATAATCTTCTAAACAATCAAGTGAGTGCATATAGGTATTAGTGATTAGGTCCTTGAAATCAACTTAATCTTATACGATTATGTTGGGATGGAAACGGGCATCTTACAGACTTATAAGTCGCAATCAAATAAGGCAGCATCATTAACAGTAGTCCTACCATGCATACCGTCCATCCGACTTAAACCACTAACATCTACAATTTATATTTTATCAACGCAATTAAATTAATTCAACAAATCCCCGGACCTTGCATTAAATGCTTACACGAGTCCAACGTTTAATATAAACCAAATAGTTATTATTATAAGCAAAAAGCTAATCTCGCTGACGTTTAGGTGTTTATAAATTTATTAAGCGAATCCTTAGGTCGCGCGTTACACTTTTTTCGGTGCTTTAGGTTGGTTATTTAGTTGGCAATAGCCACCCATGTTGGCTATAACGGCCCGTCACCGGAGAAAACCTCGTAAAAACACAATTTATAACGGGAAAATGGTATACTTGGATTCTTAAATATCCTATTTACAACTAGCGTTGTTTTACAATGTATAAATGTACTCGTATAAGCTGGCGTATTTTTTATTTTATCGATTTGTTGTTTAACTTTGCTTAACCAAGCTGTGAGATGAAGTTATAATTTTATGGTTGACTGGAAATCAACAATACTTTGTTCAAATAAGCTCATTATAAGCACTTTTCAACCTTCCAAATCATTTTTCCTTACCTCTCGTTCAGGGTGTCTTTTGTCTGGCAAGAAGAACAATCCATAGATACTTACTAGCACGACGACATGACATCAATCATGTCATTACCAAAATAATACGTATTATAATAATAATAATGATAAAAATTGTCAGTTTCTGTGGGAAATAGCAAAAGTACATTTAATTAATTAGTCAGAAAACAAAGCGAAAGCTATTAACTTGATTGACCAATTAGTATCATCATTAATACCCCACTACTGGGCCCTTCCCAATGGATGGGATAAAATATGTTGCTATATATAATTGTAATTGTAACATATTTTATGTAGTTAATTTTTACCACTCAAGTTCTCAAAATTAATTTTAATAGACAATACTTTGAGTGATAACATAATACGCCATGAAAACATAAAAGGTTTTGTCAACATTACAGTCAAACAGTCTATCAGGTTAGGCAAAACGAATAAACTTCAATCGATAATCTTTTGTACAGGGATTCTGAACGCCCATGGTCAATTAGTTTAAATATCCTTCTAGTCTTTTACTTATGGATACAAAATCCTTACTTATTTAAAAAAGTGTGTAAAAGTGTACTTGACATTATTTTCTCATCAGATTTAAAAAAAAATTGACATAAAATTCTGTACATCTTTATACTTAGTTATAATATGTATCAATACATAGACCCTTTCTACTTAATTATTAGTCATTCAATGACTAATGTTATAAAGAGTTAAGATTTAAATGTTTCTTTGTTATTATTTATTAGGCTCCGAAACTATTGGAGCGATTTTAAAAAGGTATGATATTTCGCCTAATCGTATATGTCACGCATTTTCATCGTCAAATAGCTAGCCAATCATATTATTATTATAGGAATAATCTATTTAAGGTTCATTTTCAAACTCAAGATAAACAAATGGTGTGTGTTAATAAGGTCTCCGTCGTAGACGTTCGTCACGTTATGCGTACTTCTCTCTTCTATGTTGATAGCTATAATAGGATTGATAATGTCCTATTTTAGCTATATCGGAGGAAATATTAATTAAGGTAAATATAGCCGAAATCGAGCCCGATGAATAATTTAATTATGAACTTACTCTCTATGGTTAAATATTTAGCTCAGAACGAAGGAATTCCGTGAGACTGACACGTGAGAACGTTAATGTTATCACGTAGTCACGCTCCATACATTTGCATACATAAGAAGCCTCATGAAGTGTGGCTTAATATCATGGCAGGTGCGAGAAACTGCTTACCTTAGTCGATATAAATATATATATGTTTATGTTCATATGTGCTGCATGTTATAATTAAATTATTGAAACCTTTTTAATTTTATTTGCAATCTTTCACTAGAATAATGGGGTGCTAAAATCTTACATGAACTAGCTGAAAACCTCGGAGGCGAAATACTACCCTCATTAGTCTAAAGGTGATATCACAAAAACTTTGTGGCCTAATTATCTAAACTTAATTGGATTTATGGAATTATGGAACGTTTGAAGACGCAATCGCTTTTGGAACGAATGATGATTGGAGTGATCAAGAAACAAAATAAAAACTTAATTACTTAAATTTGAAATTATATTTGCATCTAACACTTACTTTAGAGACTAAAGTTTAGACAATTATAATTAACGATGTCGTTCATTCATTATCTTTAAAAAAATATTGCGTTTGCAGTCGCTATCACATGTAAAATAGTTGTAGCATGAAGTTCGTGAATACCTTTCGTTCGTGACTAATTGCCATAGATTGTAAATTTAGACAAATATACCCAGATTTTTATTACAAATAAATACCTTTTGAAATACTGCTTTTCCGCTTCTAACGACAGAATAACTCACTAAAATTCAGTGGGAATACATCATTAATATCCTACGACAATGCTATAACATCCTCGCAATCCTTTGAAACTAAAAATAAATTTACCCAGTATCTCCCCAGTGGGAAACAGTAAGTCTTATTTACTGCGTGTAAGTAAGTATCCTGGCAGCGACATAAAAGCATTGTTTCTGGGAAATAAACACGGCTTCCCCATTGTAAGTTAGCCAACACGAATTCGGAAGGGTGTTGACCACTTTCATTTTTTGTTTTTTAAATCAATTGGTATTTAAAAAGTCCAAAAAGCTTATATTTCTTAATTTGGTTATTAAGAATATGACTCTCTGAACGTTAGAGTATTAATACTCTAAGCGCTGAAGACAAGTGTGTATAGATTTATTGAAATCAATGTTGAAACTAAAATATAATAAATTCTAGCTGTATTATAAGACAGGTAATGCAAAAAGTTGAAATACAAAATTCCAATGGCTACGCTAAAGATTAGGGAGGATGGTACGTACTTAAAAGAAGACCGAAAACTTGGAAAGAAAAAGACAATTTTGTAAAAGTTGGCTAACAGTTTGAAGAGTAGTCTCAAAGAGAACCCTTTCATATGTGTTTACTATCAATCGAATTGTTTTTATTTTTTACTTTAAAACTATATATAAATAAGCTCATTATACTTAACGATGGTGAAAAAAGCCACAACAGTTTGTTTTGTTATGATCAGCGGCATACGACTACGCTGTCTTTTGGTCTTTGCTATTATAATATAGCTTTCACTATAAAATAAATTTCTCGTTTCAAACTTTTTAGATCGTTTTTGTACCTATTTTATTGACAATCTGACTCGCATTTATTTAATTACTTTTATTGGTTTCTATTTTCAAGAAATATTCTAGATTCTAGAGATAGAGTGAGTAACAATAACAGTCTCTTTGTACCGGACATTAAATTGATTTTCCAATAATCGTTATGATTTTTCACTTTAGGTGATGTAAAAAGTCTTAAAAATAGGCGAACATGTACG